ATATATTCTCTTCTTTTTAAAGAGAATTATGTGCCCAGCATGGCCTGGAGACGAAGATTTACAGTTAAATAAAAGTGTAAAGTTCTGAGGGTGAATTCTGTCTAGCCAATGGTTAACTGACTCAGGTTCAAAAATACTGAAAATTATTTAACTTTTACTAAAATGTCTTCTAATTGGACTAAGGTCTGATAAGAGTAGTTCTAGAAAGTTGTGTGGATCTGCCACCTGGTGGTGAAGTGTTACAGGAAGTCTTAAATAGTTAAGAATTTAATAATGGATTTCTTGCATTTGTAGGCATCATAATTTAATTTTAGACTCTGAAAAGATATATAGCATTTTCTCTACTGAATGTTTTTTAAACTGAGGAGTTGTCACTTAATTGTGATAGAACAGGACATTGCCTAATTTCTGCTGCATTGTATGAGGCTCTTTGACTTATGAAATTATATGTTAACACATAAAATGTATTCTAGGTACTTTGAGAACATCCCTTCAATTTGAAGAGATAACTTTCAAGAATTAAAAATCGTTAATAGTAAGACTTTTAATATGGATAGTCATTGACTCACTGGAAAAACAAAGTTGACAGGACAAGGATTTTTGTTTTGTGTTTGGGAGAGAAATCATTTCATTTATTTATCTTAGAAAATCATAGTGGTTAGGGATGTTACTCAATCATAGAATGTTTGTCTACCATGTGTGAGATTTCTAGTCTCATCCCCAGTCCTGGAAGGGCGGAAAAAAAGCAGTAGGCATATGAACATAGGCATATTTAGCAGATAGAAAGATTAACAGCATTTTATGACCCTCAGATCAATTTAGGTATCACATATATTAAGAATAGAGGATAAAATAGAGAATGGAAAGTAACAGAAACATTCTTGGCCTCCAGGAGTTTGTAATATAGCCAAAAAAAAAAAAAAAAAAAAAAGATAGTAAGTTCTTACAGACAAAAACAGTTACCACATTAAGTACATAACTAGGAGAGTTAGGAAGCATTTTAGTATATCATGTAAAGCTTCCCTAAGGAAGTAACTGCTGAGATCTGACACATATGTATCCAGCCTGTTGTGATGCCTTCTGAGGTGAGAAGGAGGTTGACAAGTAAGAGGAATTGAAAGATCAGTGTGGCTTGGGTTTTACCAAGAGAAGAGAATTATAGTATAACTTAAAGCAGGGAAGATAAGGTGGCAATAAACAGTTTAGGGATGTGTAGGATATGTGTAAACTTTGGACTTTAGAGAAGTGGGAAGCTGTTCAAGTGTACAGTGAAGGAGTGTCAAAATCAGATTAATGATGAATGAAGTAGAACAGGTTCAGACTGAAATGAGGGCAGTTGGTTAGAAAACCATTATGATGTGGCCAGGGTACTAGAAAGTATAAGTGGGCTTGGTGTGAAGCTACAGTATTTGGAATATATTTGAGGTGGAATAGATAGAGACTTAGTAGCTGATTAGATATGGAAGGCAGAGAGATAGAAGAGATAACAAGGATGAGCATACCATTCTGGCATTCATTCACTAAATACAGTTTGGTTGTTAAGAGTAGAAAGTTGCATAGTAGTGCGCAGTTCATAGTACATCATCACTGAATATTGCAAGATGTCTCTTATTTTGTATTTTTTCTCTTCTGTCTTCATTTGCCATCTTCACTCCCATTTCTTTCTT